AAAACCTTAAGCTCAGTTTTTCTGTCAGTCCAGGATGTGCATGTGTTTTACTGCTGTTTAGTGTGCTGTCTATATATATATATTCTCTATTTTTACAAAATAAACACACTACAGCAGTGGGTGAAGCTTATTCACACTGAGAGTATGAGAGTAAAAACAGTTATTCAGATACTTTTGTTGTCATCACTCTCTCTGAAGACATCATGTTTCTCTTTACCTGGATAATAATCCAACTTTGCATGGGTAAGAGATGCATTCAATCAATATGTTTATTATAATACAAAAAATTATATTATTATAAAATTATATTATAATGAAAAAAAATACATTTGAGGCTTTTCATATATCTATTATTTAATTGCTTGATTGCCTTTATTTCATTTAATCCAATGAGAACAATCAATGGATACAGAGTCAAAGGTTAAAAGAAAACCCATAAATAAAGTTAGTAAGCTGAATGATACTATAAGTGAATGAAAAGAAATAAACTAGCCTAATACAAGTTAATGAACCCAAATTTACATATGTATAACTGAAATGGATTAATGTGAAATCATTGTGACATTAAAAATTGAACGAAGCATGGTAATATTGCTAATTACTTTAAAACCATACAAAAGTAGCTAATAGTTCAAGTTTCAATCTATTATCATGTGTAACACAATGTGCAGGTATAATGTGCCACAAGGTGGCAGTGTTCTCAGACATTTCATAGGAACTGCAATAACAGAATTTGTCAAATTTATATTACATTTTTAATATCATGTGAAAAGTGACCGAAAGGCATGCATATTTTTGGTGTACTTTTTTTCATATGTCACACCATTAAACATACTATTAAATGAAGGTTCAGAGCTGTCACTGATTTCACATTCACAGAGATCAGGAAGTTTCTGAATGTCTTGATAACTGAATAGCAGAAAGCATCAGTAACACACAGTCAGAGCACAGAGAGAAATAACACACGACTGATCTGATCATATTCACCATGAACAAATACATGCTGCTGCTTTTCATTATGGCATCAGGTGTGGCATTTATGATTACTTCAGATCATTTAGCTGCTATCAGCTATTTTATTGATTTTCTTTCAACACACTTGTAATTTATATCTTTAGTGATATACAGTGTTTAAAATAAAACAAAACGAGTTAATATTGGGCTTAATGTTTGGAGATGTGACGGCTGTGGACAAAATTGAACCAAATAAAGGGACGAGCATCATCAAAGCAGAAAGAGAGCCTGTTACACTGAGCTGCTCATATGATTCAAACAGTGAATATGTACGTCTGTACTGGTACAGACAATATCCTAATGGAGAACCTCAATATTTATTATATGAAGGAGCACGATCAAACCGTGCTAAGCACAGCTCTGATCCTCGATTCCAGTCAAGCACTTCTCGCATAATGACTGAAGTCATTATTAGTAGTGTGACTGTGTCAGATTCAGCTCTCTATTACTGTGCTTTAAGAGTTGAAACCCAGTGATACAAAACATGAAACAAAAACTACAAGCCATTTTTTTTACGTTGAAGCTATTATTATGAAAACCAAATCAAAACCTCAATGTGAGATAATAACTGCAAACACCTGCGTGAGGTTGAGGGAAGAAATGTTTTATAAAAGGAATAAAAGGACAGAAAAGTAAAAGGTAAAAATGCTTAAAAGGGCTTAGGGTTGCAACTGTGTGTTAAAGAAATGTACTACAGTTGTGCAACACTTCATTCATGTTACATTTGCAAAAAACATAAAGCTTAATGTGTTTTTAAAAAAAAATCTGCCTGTGACAGACTGTCTGACACTAAAATAGGACTAATGTTAATTTCAACTTGTGTAACAAAATCTACTATGCACCCACTTAGAATATTTACAATTATTACTACTTAGAATTTATCTGTATCTTAACAATAGTGGACAGAAAATTGGTTTCACATATATAGCAGTAATGAGCCAGGCCCTAAGAAAAAATATTCCAACAAAATAAAGCTTTTCTTTTGTCTTGAAGCGTCAAAAGAGGAGGGACTTAGATCTGACATGATGTAGTTATGTCTGACAGAGACTGTGGTAGAAAAGATTCAGTCTGACTCTTCTCAGAGTGAACACTTGTACAATGGATCTTCACTCAGTTATCCTGTTCTGTGTCTCAACCGGTATCTATATTTATTTGGCTGATTATTTGGTAGATTATTAAAAGAAGAAAATAACAAAACAAATGTACCTCTTCTTTTTCAGTTGCTGTCTTTGGAAATGTCATCAAACCAAACAAAGTCAATGTTTTTGCTGAGGAGGGTTCAAGTGTTACATTATCCTGTAGTTTTACTGACTCTAGCACTACAGATTATCTCCACTGGTACCGTCAGTATGGAAGATCAAAACCTGAATTTATTGTACTCACCTACGACACTGCAAAAGATGCTCAGCGCTCTGTTGTAGATCCAAGATTCACTGTTAATGTGACAAAAAGGGAACATGTGATTCTGAAGATCTCCTCTGCTGCTGTATCAGACTCAGCTCTCTACAAAAACCTGTTACAATGAGAGGCATGAGAGAGAGAATTTAAGTAATCTAATGTAAAAAGGATCAAAACATAAAATAAAGCAACATTCTAAAATGAGTCAAATTCTTTTTAATCTGTTAAACAGCAAAACAGGGCAGTTGTGGTCTAATGGTTAGAGAGTTGGACTTGTAACCTGAAGGTTGTTGTGGGTTTGAGTCTTGGTACCGGCTTGTATGTGACTGAGGTGCCCTTGATCAAGGCACCTAACCTCCAATTCCTCCCTGGCTGCAGCAGCAAAGCTCACTATTATTGTGCTCTAAGAGTATTATTAGCCCAGTGATACAAAACATGAAACATGTCATACAAAAACCCGAAGCTCTTTTCCACTTTGATTTTTTCTAGTGAAAACCACATCAAAACCACTATCTATCCATTCCTGTTGAGGTCTGTCATAAAACTTCAAAGACACTTGTGTGGTTAGTTTTATACACAGTCTTAAAGCACCGTAATTAACTAGCATTTTAATTTACATTTTAATTAGTATTATTTTTTTCCCAGAAAATTAAAATTAATTTTAATATGAAAAAAATATTACAAATACGTGAATAAAATGAATTTCGAGTTCATGAGCACAATAAAATAAACTTGTGCCTTTGTCCACAACAGCAAAATTCAAAATAAACTATGATGAACAATGTGCTGAATATGTTTTACATTTTCATGTATTTTTTGGTCATTAACCTGGATTTCAGATGTTTTTGAATGTGCCAGAGGGAGGAGTCAAAGGAACCTCTTCAAACAAACTGTGTAGTGTAGATCAAGTGCACTTGCTCACTAGAGTATATACAGTCACTCTGTCACAGACTAGATCGGGGTGAGCATAAGATCTGGATTTATATTAGACTTCATTTTTAAAGCAAGAAATATGACAGACTGGATAAAACAAACTATCATTGTTTTCATATATATCTGGGGTAAGTAACATTTTTTGTGAGTAATTCTTTTTAATACTCTTAAATACTCTTTGTAATACTACAAAGTTATTTTGAATGTTTATGATATTTCTTTGCTGATGTTGTTCATGATTTGAATCTACAGGAATAGAATCACAGGACAGTGTTGAGCAGAAAACAAGAGTTCAGACTGTTTATGAAGGTGGAACTGTAATAATCAACTGCACATATCAAACACAGCTCACCCCGACTCTCTTTTGGTACCAGCAAAAAGTAAACAGAGTTCCTAAATATATGCTTCAAAGAGTTGGTAAGACTGGAGCTGAAGACGAAGAGTTCAAAGACAGATTTAATGCACATATCGACACATCTTCAAAATCAGTTCCTCTGACAATCCAGGATGTGCGTGTGTCTGACTCTGCTGTGTGCTACTGTGCTCTGAAGCCCACAGTGAGAAAACTCAAGTCAAACCACATACAAAAACACAGATGTGTTCGTTTCTTTACAGTAAACATTTCTGAAATATAAAATCTATAATAAAGTTATACTGAAGATAACAGTCAAATGATCTATAATACTCATTGTGCAATCAATGTAATATTATCCATCCATTCTCCAATCTGCTTATCCTCTGTAGAATGGCAGCAATTTAATGTTATTTTGATATTAATTTTATTTAATAGCATGATTTCAACTTTGAATTATGTAAATATGTTTTCTTGATTTAAAGGATGTTCACAGCCTAACTGTCTTGCTAACATGTGAACAATTGGATTATGATGCATGATGGAAATATAAGCATGTGTTGCATTTGATTAAAGAATTACCAAATTAGAATTCATCTGTAATTTAACACTGATGGACACATAAATGTGTTTCACATCACATGATGCTACACTGTTGTGAGTTGGGCCCAAAATGACATTCAAAATGTTTCTGACTCTAGGAGAAAAAAACTCTAAAACACTGAACACTAACACATCTGGTTATTCTGTATTTCTTTGGCATGGTTTATTTTGCTATTCAGTTACTTGTCTTTCACTTCAGAATTTTTATGTTATTTATTTATTTATTTGTATTATTGTACAGCACATTGGTCAATGGACTGTTGTTTTAATGCTGCTTTATAAATAAACTAAACCAAACTGAAAACTGTTATTCTTATAAGGACAATCATATTCCTAAATAAGGATCCAAGATTAATTTTGGTTTATTTGTTTGGTACAGTTGTAAAAATTGTTCATGCGCTTAGATCTTTCTTCTCTTTTCAACTTCGGAATTGAGCTGTAATATGAGGGAGGAGGGACTCAGTGTTCATATCGTGTCTGACAGAGACTGTGGTTGAATCGATTCAGTCTGACTCTTCTCAGAGTGAACACTTGTACTATGGATCTTCATTCAGTTATTCTGCTCTGTGTCTCAGCTGGTATTTATTTACATAATTATTTATTTAACAATTTTTCTCAAAACTTTTCACTAAAAAATTACCAATTAACTTTTCCTTATCACCTGCTGTCTTTGGAAATGTCATCAAACCAGAACAACTAGATGTTTTTGCTGAGGAGGGTTCAAGTGTTATCCTGTACTTTTTCTGACTCTGGAGTTACAGATTATCTCCACTGGTACCGTCAGTATGGAAGATCAAAACCTGAATTTCTTGCACTCACCTACAGCAATGCAAAAGTTGCTCAGCGGTCTGATGTAGATCCAAGATTCTCTGTTAACATTCCAAAAAGGGAACATGTGGATCTGGAGATCTCCTCTGCTGCTGTATCAGACTCTGCTCTGTACTACTGTGCTCTGAGGCCCACAGTGACAGGAAACACATCAGCTCTCTACAAAAACCTGTTACAATGAGAGACAAGAGAGAACACACAGAGACAGAGATGAAGACAGAGAGAAAGAAGCTGTAACTGGCAATTGTGAACCAATAAAAATAAAAAATAAAAAACACAGTACCAAAATCAAAAGGTACACACAGGTCCCTATGATCCCTATGAAGCTGTTCTTTAACACCTGTAATTCAGTCAACTGTCAAACTATAAAACATTTCATATATTCCGCATTTGCAATAAATAGTGCAGGTTGATGTATGCCACAGGATGGCAGTGTTCACACACTTTCACATGGAGATATTGTTCCTATCCTATATGAGAAATCGTCATACTACAAAATTATGTTAAACTTTTATATTGTACAAATTATATTGAAAATATACTTACATAACAGAAAATATATAAATCAAGAAATCCCATATTCTTCAGGTTACATAACATTTCCATGCTAATAATAAAGAGTAAAAAAAAAATGCAGGCATCAAATATTTGTGCCTTTACAACCTTAATAAACTAAATTTAATGTATATTGGTGTAATGTGTACAGTATATTTCACTGGCTTCTTCATACTGGCACTCATTGGGTTTATTTATTTTTTTTAATAATAATGCTCTTTTTAAAGAAATACTCCATTGCATTCACTCTGTGCTCCATCATCACCATTATCATGGTTTGTGCACAGTGAGGAAGCTGAAGTCCATCAAAAATGGTTTAATTAACCATTAAACCTGATATTGTTTTTGATGTAGGCTAAACCCCCATGTAAAACTTTTTATATACAATGTTCTTTAAATCGCTTATACAATAGCGTAGTTATCTAACACAGTTAAATGACAGTCATAAACAGCAGAAGGAAGTTCAGAGAGAAGGAAGTTCCTGTGTGTGTTTCTGACTGATCTGGAGTGACTTACAGCTCAGAGCACTGAGAGACTCAACAGAGAACTGAACTGATCTGATTGAACATGGACAGATGCTTTATACTGATTCTCATTGTGGGAACAGGTATATTATTTACTGAGCAGCTGACAAAAATATTTATGTACATAAAAAGGCTATATTGATATTATTTTGGTCATTTCTATTTTGTAAAACATGCTGTGACATGTTTTTCCAATATTATTTTGACAACTTTGCTTTCACAAATCAAAAATCAGTTATATTTGTGCTTACTGTTGACAGGTTTGGTGGCTGGAGACAACATTGAGCCAGATAAAGGGACAGAAAAAAACTCTAGAGAAGGAGAAATGGTCAAGCTGAGCTGCTCATATAGTTCAAGCAGTGAATATGTTGTGCTTTACTGGTACAGACAGTATCCCAATGGAGAACCACAGTATTTATTACGCAAAGGAGCCCGATTACGTAATGATGATCACACCTCTGATGGTCGATTTAATTCGGATACAACACGCACATCCACTGAACTCACTATTACTGATGTACGTCTGTCAGATTCAGCTCTCTATTATTGTGCTCTAAGAGTAGTAGCCCAGTGATACAAAACACGAAACTTGTCTTACAAAAACCTGAAGCTCTTTTCACTTTGAAACTATATCTACTGAAAACCACAATCAAAACCATGATCTATCCAGCCCTGAATGTAATAAAATATGTGGTAACACCTGTGTGAGTTTTAATTAGACATAAAAACTTCCAAAAAGCACTGACAATGCAGTATTACATTCTTTGCGGTTCCTTTTATACACAAACGCATTCTAAAATATAATTTCTTAATCGCTTGTCATGCAGTAAAACAGGGAGCTAGTAAAGGGAAGTCACTTAAGTGAGATTTGTTGAAAGGGTGTTGAGATTTCTGTCTTTTTAAATATTAGGACTCCTTCTACTTCTTCAAATGACTGTCTCTCAGCACTACTCCTCTTGAGTTCATGGCCCTGTTGCCTCTCCAACAGCATCCAGCCTATACTGATATATTATCGTTCAGTCTTTTGGGTTTATTTTCATGGCTTTGGCAGTGACATCGGAGCTTTTTCTCCCACTGACACACAGACTATTGTCATGCTCAAATCTAGTCCTCAACAAACCAAAGCCATCTGCATTATATATTATTCATTTAGCAAATGCTTTTACTCAAAGGGTCTTTGTCATTTCTGTAATACAACAACATTCTTTGTGCTTTTTAGTCTTGCTGCAAGAAAGAATGATACATTATAAAAACATTTGTTTTTTTTATAGTACAGAGAGAAAAAAATAAAAAGTCAGAAAGGGACTTGTTGCATTAAGATTATTTCAGCTTTTGTCTTTGAGAAGGACCCTTTATAATTGAATGAAAACAATGTAATTTCAGAAGTTGGCCACTGTGTGGCATAATCTATTATGCTGATTTATGAAGTCCCTGCTATATGTGTATATCCTTTGCAAACAGATTTGCACTGTTAGACTTCAGACTAATGTTGCCTGCTGCACATATACTATGCTAATCTGGCTGAGGAATTTACTTTTACTGGCAGTAGTTCTTGGTAAGTAACAATTCAATTAAATCTAACATAGTGCATGATCATTATATAAGAATATACAGTATATCTGTGTTTTTTTCTTGACAGAGTGCAATACACAGGATTCTGTCAATCAACCAACAAGAGTTCAAACAGCTTCTGAACATGAGATGGTTAAACTTCACTGCACTTACAGTACCAGTGATTCATACCCTTATCTTTACTGGTACCAACATAAAACCAATGGATTCCCAGTTTACATGCTCCGTAAACTCTCGACTGGATCAAGCAGCAGTGAAAAAGAATTTGAGGAAAGATTTCATGCAGATCTCAACAAATCCTCAAGTTCAGTTTCTCTGTCAATCCAGGATGTGTGTGTGTCTGACTCTGCTGTTTACTACTGTGCTCTGCAGCCCACTGTGACAGAAACACATAAACATCCTGACAAGATCTAAGGGCTCTGAAACATACAGTTTTAACATGAGCATATTTTTTCAATGCTGTTAGCAGTGGGTGGAGTTTATTCACACTGTTGAGAGTGTGAGACAGAGACAAACAGTTGTTCAAATACTATATTTGCCATCACTATCTCTCTGAAGACATCATGTTTCTCTTTAACTGGATAATAATTCAACTTTGCATGGGTAAGATATATTTTTTAAGCAATATGCTTATTATAAATGTCCCTTAAAATCCATTTAGTGTTGCATATGCAGTGAATAAATGTTTTTTTTTTTTTTGCACAGGAAATTCTTTTGGTGACACAATACAACCATGGTTTCCAGAAAAACATGATTCTGATGGTGAAAATATGACTCTGTCCTGTAACTACAGTCTCACTAGTGGCACTAGTGTTACTATCCAGTGGTATCGCCAGTATCCCGGAGCAAAACCAGAGTTTTTACTTTTTGTCACTGAATATTCTAGCAAATCTGTGCCTGAACTACGTCTATATTCAGAAGCTAAAAAAGAAATCAAACGTGTGGATCTGGTGATCTTCTCTGCTGCTGTATCAGACTCTGCTCTGTACTACTGTGCCCTGCAGCCCACAGTGACAGGAAACTCAGTAACAATGTGCAAAAACCTGATATACAGAATTGCATCTATTACACAAAATAGGTTTAGCAACAAGAACAAAACTGTAACAAAATACTAGTAATTTTAATACTGAAATCATCTGAGGTCTTTTTGAAGAGCATTGGGATGCAAGTGCCAGTTGCGTTTGGAATAACAGAACATGAGTCAGCATTGTGAGAGACATGAAAGTAAAGCCAACGTTAAAACACCACTGCTATCAATGATGTAAATATTAAGAAATATCACACTGCCACTGAATGCCGCAACTGCATGTTTTGGTGAATAAATAATATAGGCTAATCAAATGCATGAATGCATAGTGTATGTATATCCTAAGATTAATCATTGTACATGTGATAATAATTAAGTGATATACTGTAGTTTAATTTATACACAATATACAGTCTTCTTCACAGAGGCTCCTCCCAACAGTCAGACCATGTGATATGAATTTACTGCTGCTTTAACAGATGCAGAAAGAGGAAGAGGATCACAACATCTCTGCATATTTTTTAAGAGTCCGCAATTTCAATTGTATATAATGGCACTCTGGAAATTTAATATTGTGATCATAGTTTTATATATCTGGGGTGAGTAGTACGATTAAATAACGATTCTTTTCAAATCTATTTAAAATGAATTTTCCTTATGTGTGTAATGTGCATATTTAGTCATATTATTTTAATTCAATTTCAGGTTGTAATTCTCAATCTCAAGACAAAGTTGATCAGCACACAAGGATTCAATCTGCTTTTGAAGGTGATACTGTAATGATCGACTGTACATATGAGGCTACTTATACAGGCCCGACTCTCTTTTGGTACCAGCAGAAAGACAATGGAAATCCAAAACACATGTTAAATAAATTCTCTAAATCTGGAAACAGTGAGGAAGAATTCAAGGAGAGATTTCATGCAAATCTCAGCAAAACTTCAGTTCCACTGACAATCCAGGATGTGCGTGTGTCTGACTCTGCTGTGTACTACTGTGCTCTGAGGCCCACAGTGACTGAAACACACTCATACCACTGAAACACACTCATAGCACTCATACAAAAACTAAGGAATACACATTACAGGGGATTTACATTGCCAGGCCCCCTTGAAATCTGTATGCACAGAACATGAAGCTCAACAAAATTGGAATGACCGGCATTCACATATGATTATTTTCAGGTAGTTTAATTTAACACATTGTAATCAAGTTTAAATCCATTTCACAATTCCACAAATTATCCCCCAAATTTATTAAAAAATATTTTAAACATTTTCAGGCTAATTCTAATTTGGTGAAAAATGGTTTCAAAAATTTTTTTTTATGCTATTTCAAACTTCATCCACAAGGGGTCAGCATCACCATCTCCATGTATGAGTAGATCACGTGACAACACAAACGTTTAAAGAAGCACTCTGCAGGATGAACAGTTTTTGAGAGCACAGCTGATTGAATGTTTGTTTATAGATCAACTATGTTTAGATGGGCTTTGATTTCCCTGTGTTGCATAGCACATTATGATGGTAAGCACATCTGTATACTTTAAAAGAAAATGATTTACTGACATTAAGCTTAATAAATGTTTAAGTTTACTTTGCTAATAATTCATGTTAATGACTTACTTTTTCCTATCTATTTTTCCAGTGTCCTCAGCACAGGACAGGATTGAACAGACTTCAAGAGAAATGACTGAAAGTGAAGGAGCTCAAGTTATTTTAATGTGTAATTATACTACTGCTTCTACAAATCCGTACCTCTTTTGGTACAAACGGCTACCAAACAGATCACCAACATTCATTCTGAATCAATATACCACTGAGCCTGATTTTACAAAGAAATATTCTGCAACACTGAACTCCACACCAAGAACATTTCCACTGATGATCAAGAACCTACATGTGTCTGACTCTTCGGTGTACTACTGTGCTCTGAAGCCCAGTGACTGAAACACACTCAGCACTCATACAAAAACTAAGGAATACACATTACAGGGGACTTACATTGCCAGGCCCCCTTGAAATCTGTATGCACAGAACATGAAGTTCAACAAAATTGGAATGACCGGCATTCACATATGATTGTTTTCAGGTAGTTTCATTTAACACATTGTAATCAAGTTTAAATCCATTTCACAATTCCACAAATTATCCCCCAAATTTATTAAAAAATATTTTAAAAGTTTGCAGACTCTGCCTCAGCATAATAATAACTAATAGGGGACAAAATAAAAGAAAACATACTAAAACTAGATTTGAGGCAGGTGTGCAGTGTAAATGCAGATATAGGATACAGGTCACTTTTAAAAGAAGGTGTAAGCGGGTCGTCAAAAAAATCGGATAGGCTATAGTCAAAAAATCCGATCTGGGCATCCAGACCTGCAGTGTAAATGCAGCCTAAATGTAATGTTTAGTTTTAAACTATGTGCAGATGTGAGAGGGGTTTTGGCATCAAAGAGGAAGAGTTTGGCATATTGATCCAAGATGATCTTGTTACATTTGCTAGACTGTCACAAAGCTCAGTCCTGCTGCAGTGACACACATATGTACAATGATATTTCATTCAGTCATTTTGCTTTCTGCCTTGATATGTAAGTGCATTTGTGTATGTTTTGCATGCATTTGCATTTCTAATTTAACACTGTACATATATATATATTTTGTCAAATAATCTTATCTTACATGCTTAATTAACTTTTCATTGAAAATATAAACTTATTACATCCTTAAATACTGTACATTTTCCCCTGCTTTTACAATGTAGAATCCTATATCACAATGACAATGCAACATTACTATTTAATATAATTAACTAGTATTGTTTATTGTATGCTTAATTTCAAATCACTATAGTAAATCAATTTAATAATTATTTACAAATTATTATTATTTTTTATCTCTCCCTCTTTTCCAGGTGTGAGTTTTGGAGATGAAATCACAGCAGACAGCACTGAGGAATCTGCTGCAGTGGGTTCAACTGTAACTTTATCCTGCAGTTATTCCTCTGCACAATCACTTCAATGGTACCGTCAGTATCCCGGATCAGCTCCTCAATTTCTTGTGCTTATAATAGAGAGTGTGAAAGACACTAAGACATCTGATGTAGATCCCAGATTCTTCACTAAGCTCAGAAAAGAAAAACAAAATACAAAAGAAATCAAACATGTGGATCTGATCATCTCCTCTGCTGCTGTATCAGACTCTGCTCTGTACTACTGTGCTCTGAGGTCCACAGTGACAGGAAACACAAGAACACTGTATAAAAACCTGACACAGATGAAGGTGTACAACCAATTTCTTTCCATAATATAGGTACAGTATATTATAAATTCACACTGTATTAATATGAGATAAACTATAAAACAATATATAAACTATACAGTTGCAGCAGTGGTATGATAAATTATGCATATTTTTTTAACTTATTATGAATGCTATTTGTTTGCACTCTCCTCTAGGATTCAAGTCACTGACTACACATTGATTTAAATACAGTTCAACTTGCAATTTTTGTACAGTCACATTAAAGGGGTCATATGATGCATGCAAAAAAATGCATTTTATTTTTCCCTAAATTCTGTGTTTTCCATTTGATTTCTTATGGATTCCGTGTTTTATGATTCAGTACAAATTTATCATAAAAAATGGTGTCTAGTGAAATGAATTAATAAAACTTTAACAATTTAACCAATCTTTAACCAAATGTAATCAAATGAAACGTCTCAGGTTAGGCATGTAACCATGGTTCCCTGAGAATAGGGAACGAGATGCTGCGTCCTCTAGAGGGCGCTAGGGGAACGCCTTCAGCATGACCGGTGTCTGAAGCATGAGTCTAAACACGACAATGAACTTGACATTGGCAGGCGGCAACCTATGACGTCACAACTGGTGCACGTATGCAGGGATGCCTGAAGCATGGCCAAGGGACGCAGTGTCTCGTTCCCTATTCTCAGGGAACCATGGTTACATGTGTAACCTGAGACGTTCCCTTTCGAAAGGGAACTCTATGCTGCGTCCTCTAGAGGGCGCTAGGGGAACGGTATACCAACGCCGCCATGCTGAAGGGAAAAGCGCCTTATTGGCTGAGCCAAGACAAGACTCAAGGAGTCCTCACCCCTGCACCAGCAATGCAACCATAGACTAGAACTTCTAAGGACAAAGAGGCTCACAGAGAGCCTAACGCTCAGATTAGCTAAATGGCCCGTGGAACTCTGCAGAGTGGAGGCCTAAATACAACACTTCTCAAAGTGAGAGGTGGCCTAGCACACTCCATATAAGGTCAGTAGCCAAGGGGGCTCCAAGAGAGCCTAACAAGCTAGCATACTACCCTACCGCCTAGCCGAGCTCTAGGAGCGGAGACCTCAACATGAGGAGGCCTAACTAACACCCCACGCTCAGGACATCTTGTAAGGAGGCTCACAGAGAGCCTACAACTCACAGATCCTGTCCTAGCGCAGCTCTCGCGAGCGGAGGCCTCAATAAATAACCCTCTGTAGCGAGAGGAGGCCTGACGACGCTCACAGTAAATGGCCGAGCTCTAGGAGCGGAGGCCTCAACATGACGACTCTCTAAGCGAGAGGAGGCCTAACTGCACCCCACGCTCAAGACATCTTGTATGGAGGCTCACATAGAGCCTACAACTCACCGACGCTTTCCTAGCGGAGCTCTGGCAAGCAGAAGCCTCAATAGATAACTCTCTGTAGCGAGAGGAGGCCTGACGACGCTCGCAGTAATTAGCCGAGCTCTAGGAGCAGAGGCCTCAGCATGACGACTCTCTAAACGAGAGGAGGCCTAACTACACTGCATGCTCAGGACATCTTGTAAGGAGGCTCACAGAGAGCCTACAACTCACAGATCTTGTCCTAGCGAAGCTCTCGTGAGCAGAGGCCTCAGTAAATATCCCTCTGTAGCGAGAGGAGGCATGACGACGCTCACAGTAAATGGCTGAGCTCTAGGAGCAGAGGCCTCAACATGACGACTCTCTAAATGAGAGGCCTAACTACGCTCCACGCTCAGGACATCTTGTAAGGAGGCTCACATAGAGCCTACAACTCACAGATCCTGTCCTAGCGGAGCTCTCACGAGCGGAGGCCTCAATAAATAACCCTGTAAGGACATTAACTCTTTTGAGAGGGGAATCAAATCTTAAGATTCAAAATCAACCCTATTGAACTGATTCCAAATTTGATAGTTTACACCTTATCAACTGTTCGTCCAGCGTGACGTTAACATCAGTATACACACACATACAGTTCTGAAGATGAGAGTTTATGGAGTTCTGAGGAAGTCCCAAAGTTCTAGTACTTGTTACTAGTCCTTAGATCGCAACAAGAAAATCACAAAAGCAGAGATTGTCTTATATTTACTGCTTAAGATCAATTCAGCACCAGTTTTCCAGCTAGTAAGGAGACCTTGTTTTACTTGCGTTTGAGTTGAAAGTTGAGAGGGGTTTTCCTCGTTGGCTTGTCTCCCGCAGAGAGGAATCCCCACGTTGCTGATTGGTTGCAGATCTGTCGTTTGGATGACGTCTTTTGGGAGCCCTCGTCGTGAGTGGGCGTTGCTTGGTTACGGAGGAGCCTCGAAGTTCGTCTGAGAGAGTCTGAGTTTGCAAGACTTTGTTCAGCAGAGTCACGAAGCTTCAGCGAAGTGTTTGGAGTTCTGAATGACTCAATCGCTTGATGGTGCAGCGTGTGAGCGCAAGTTTGAGCATGGTCAAGACAAAGGCAAAAGAGCACGGATCTGTTCGTGACATTTGGTTTTAAGCGAGCCGATTTGGTCCATCCCAGAAGCAATTGTTCCAATCAGATATTGGCTGCAGGGCTTAGCCACGCCTCGCAAGGTTCCTCTTTGTGCATAGATTAACATAATGCTCCCTCCATCACATGAGGAGACATCTCTAAAAGTTTTGTTAATATTTCTATAAAGTGTTGTAATCATGCTGTAAGGTCTCTGTCTTGTGAAACAGGCCCCCATAAGCTATGGATTCACCACGTGAATATCATGAGGTATCTATACCAATCACCCCCAGCACATGACTCCAATATTCTGGGTCGATTTCCTGCCAGTCATGTCGTCATCTACTCAGAGGAGTGATTAAAGATTGATCCAATCAAGAGACAACAAAGCTTTCTTTGTATCAAGGACTGAAAAGGTTCGTTCACAACATATAGAAACCACGATGTCTTGTGACCAACAATGAGTGCAACTATTATATCCAGCAGGAAAAGGATGAGTAAATTAACTAGTGCCCTCAGGCCTGCAAGCACGGGATATACAGCGTGACGCCACATGACTTTTTGACCATCTGCTTCCTGCCCTGACTCTTACAAATTTAAGTAATCAAGTTATTACAATGCGTATGATACCGAAAATCAACATTTCATTCAAACCAAGATATTGCAAATAAAACAAGCTTTCACCCAACATCAAACATCAGGTATCTGGCATACACGTTAATAACCTTATCTACTAAAAAAGGGTTATAAAGCATTGATTAAACTTCATAGGTTACAATAAACACATCAAGCATATACAGGTGCATCTCAATAAATTAGAATGTCGTGGAAAAGTTCATTTATTTCAGTAATAGTATAGTTGCCCTTTGTACTTTAAATGATTGTCCTTTTGAGATTGTCTATGTGAGTTTGAGTGTGTTCCTTTGTTGCAACGAAAATAGCGCGAGTTATCATGTAGAAAGGAGAGGAGGAATGTCCTGAGGTCAAGAAAGTGGAGGTCTGCTGAGCCTTCCGCTCAGACGTGTCATTGTAAATCTGTCCGTTTGTGATTATCAGGTTATTAATTTATGCTGAAGCTGGTCAAAGTTACACTTCACATCTGGTCTTTGCATGGTCTCAGACAGAGGTTGATTGTCACTGTTCTTTAGATCTGTTGTTTTTGCAGGCCTGGAGCTTGTTCGCTAAATCACTCCCTTCCTGTGGTACATGGGTGTGAGCGAAGCTTGGTCAGCAGGGGACAATCAACCATTTGCGCTGACATGGTTCTAAAACAAAAGGGGTTTTCTTCTTCTTTTGATTGGATTAAGTCTTATCACTGCTTTCAACATCTCTTGAGAAGATAAGCAGAGTGGGACAAGAACTGCTCGAGACAATTGGGCACCATGTTGATCATTAATTAATTTTACGACCGCAGATGGCTGGGGAGGAGAATCTTTAGTTTTTGCTGTGGAATGTGGAGATTCAGTCGTTCATTTGTGTCTATTCACAGAGGCCCTACAACCCTCTGTAGCGAGAGGAGGCCTGACGATGCCCACAGTAAATGGCCGAGCTCTAGGAGCGGAGGCCTCAACATGACGACTCTCTAAACAAGAGGAGGCCTAACTACACTCCATGCTCAGGACATCTTGTAAGGAGGCTCACATAGAGCCTACAACTCACCGACGCTGTCCTAGCGGAGCTCTGGCGAGCGGAGGCCTCAATAGATAACTCTCTGTAGCGAGAGGAGGCCTGACAACGCTCGCAGTAATGAGCCGAGCTCTAGGAGCAGAGGCCTCAGCATGATGACTCTCTAAACGAGAGGAGGCCTAACTACACTCCGTGCTCAGAACATCTTGTAAGGAGGCTTACAGAGAGCCTACAACTCACCGACGCTGTCCTAGCGGAGCTTTGGCAAGCAGAGGCCTCAATAAATAATTATCTGTAGCGAGAGGAGGCCTGACGACGCTCGCAGTAATTGGCCGAGCTCTAGGAGCGGAGGTCTCAACATGATGACTCTTTAAACGAGAGGAGGCCTAACTACACTCCATGCTCAGGACATCTTGTAAGGAGGCTCACGTAGAGCCTACAATACACAGATGTTGCCCTAGTGGAGCTCTGGCGAGCGGAGGCCTCAATAAGATACTCTCTGTAGCGAGAGGAGGCCTGACAACACTCGCAGTAATTGGCCGAGCTCTAGGAGCGGAGGCCTCAGCTTGACGACTCTCTAAAATGAGAGGAGGCCTAATCACACTCCATGCTCAGGACATCTTGTAAGGAGGCTCACATAGAGCCTACAACTCATTGACGCGTTCCTAGCGGAGCTCTGGCGAGCAGAAGCCTCAATAGATAACTCTCTGTAGCGAGAGGAGGCCTGACTCTGCTCGCAGTAAATGGCCAAGCTCTAGGGGCGGAGCTCCAATACTTCTGCTCAATTTATTTATTTATGATTTAATGCCATGTCAGCAGCAGTGGCTATATTCATGGCAAGAGGAAACATTTAAATTTCACAATTCAGTCATATATATCAATTCAAAACAATTATGTAACAGTTTTGTTTGAAAATTATAAATAAATAAATATGTTAGCTTCTCAAAGCCA